GGCACGGGCACGAAGGAGGCGGGGCAGGCTTTCAAAACTGGTTGCCTCATGGGCAATCTTTCTTCGGGTTCATGACACCCCTCGCCAACCGCGCGCTCCGTCCATTTTGGACAGTGCGCGTAAACGCTCGAGGGGCAACGCCTGCTGAGACCCGGGATTCTTCGCTATTATCTACCGGTGCGTATCTTAGATATTCTTTGGAGTTTCGGCCTATTGACTCTCTTCTTAGAAATGCAACAAGGACGCTCAGAGCTACCGCTCTTAGAAGAGTGCATTCGTCAAACCAATAGCTACACGTAATGGAACACAAGTCATTTTTGTACGAAAGGAGAGGTTGAACATATTCACCAAGACTTTCGGTGATTTCTACAAATACACCGCTCTGCATGCACAGAAAGACACCACCTTCATGTAGGTATGAGCAGGCACATTGAACAACATGTGGTGTTCCACATTCACGTTAGCCAGACCCTACCGCCAAACTTATCGCTACCCAGGTACCGTGGTCAGCACCATGGCGAGTTTGGCTTCCCATGCAATAATTACCGAAATTGAGAAGTTAGCTGGGCGAGCTTTTGAGATAACGAGGGATTGATGTTCGCGGACCATCGTCGACGGCCTGATACTAACTGGTCGGAAGAGACTCCGGTTATACCTCGAACGGGTAGTTACTCCTTGATTGTATGTATGCTTCCTAACAGGATGCGGCCCTTACCCGGAGTAGAGGATGCTTCCGTTGTTGGACCAGCAGAGGCAGGTGCAGTACGGCACGATGGCCTTCATCGACACCTCGGGGAACTCCGGTCGGAGCTCGTCCACCACAACCTTCGACTCCAGGTCCCAGATCTGACAAATTAAACAAAAACAACATCTTAGACGTCGAAAAACAAAGCCCTGATAAATGTATTACAAACCAATGGCTTCACGTCTATTAGCTTGAGGATGAGAAGGTTTAACACCAAGTTCGAGGAAAAGAAGGAAACCTCCGCAGCAGTGGTACTACACGAAAGGCGTTATCGTGCTCGTTCCTTATAAAACGCTTAAACCTCGGTCCCCGCCGCGGGTGTTCGTTCGCTGCTACAGCAGCACCCTTGATACTGCACCCGTGGATATCTGCCCGCCACGGGTAACGACTCAGGTTGCCCGGCCATTTCACATACCCCGTTTGAAATTGTCGGGACGAGTCCACCGAAGTGGCATGCACAAGAGTTCAAGTCACGGTAAGCCTCCTAAACAACGGAGTAAATCTAGGATCATCAAGGGCACGAAAAATGCTCGTTCCAAGAAGTGTTCACCCTGTGCGTCGCGATCAAAAATCAAGAGTAATCCTGCCTGGTGCGTACCTTGATGCCCGCGGTGGTGGCCGCGCACAACCAGTAGCGGTTGGGCGAGAACACGAGGGAGTGGATGATGTCCCCGGCGTCGAGGGAGTAGAGGCGCTTGCCCTCCTTGAGGTCCCACAGCATGGCGGTGCCGTCCTTACCTCCGGAGGCGCACAGGGACCCGTCCGGCGACACCGTCACCGTGTTCAAGTACCTGTAATCACGACATGCATATAACAATAAGGTCGTTAAAACCGCATCACTCGTGCGCGTGGTGATCCGCACAACAGTGCGGAGGAACAAGTAGGAGTGTGCTTCTCAAGGCATCGGCAATACATAATGGCGAGCAGAGACTGCTTGTCACCGTGTTTTAAGTATATGCCTTACGATACGATGTGGCCTGTAGCATGCAAAAGACAAGAGGGGAGAGGCGATCACCGTGGTCACGCACCCGATGCACCAAGAGAAGGGAAGCCAACATCCGCACCACCACTACGCAGTACAACGGAAAAAACAGCCTGAACATAAAAGCAAAAGCAACACATTTCGGCACGAACCTAAGGCGTGGAGGGAGAGCAAGGTCAAGATTCGCGTATTTTCTCACCCGGTGTGGCCGATGAGGTTGGTGTGCAGCTTGCAGTTCGACAGGGCCCAGACCTTGACGAGCTTGTCCCATCCCGCCGACACGATCACGGGGGCGGACGGCGACGGGGAGAACCGCACGCACGACACCCACTCCGTGTGACCCTGTTCATTACCAGAGCCGAAACATCCGGGGAAAACGCGGCGCAACAGGGCAACCACAGCCGGAGGGAATTCAGGAATCGTTTTTGTTCAAGACTATGTAAATCAAATAGAACAAGCTGAGCCCAGCCCTTTCCTTCAGGCACAAGTCAAGCTCATGTAAAACATGGGAAGTCCAATGGCTAATTGGGGCCGGTGGACCCGTACTTGGCAAGCATCTCCATCCGAAACCAGTTGTTGATTTGCGGGCTGCAGCTGCCAAATTTCACTCTCGTGGCAGCGTACATGGTCGTCATAGGGTGTTCCTGATTAAGGAGGCAGAGGGCAAACATGTGAATCTTCTCAAAGCAAATAAATAACTGACATCGCTCACGAAGGCCACAAGCGATCACCCCAAATTCGGATACCTGGTGTGGATATCATACAAGCAGGGAGCACTTGAATAGACGTCTTGGTGAATGAGGAAGCTGACGGGATTGATACCGTGACACAAATTAAACTCTGGTGGACCTTATCAGCAGCAGACAACATGCGATAAACTCACCAGAGCAAAGCTGCCGTCATATCATTCAACGAAATCAAGGAAAACATGTACCAGTCGACAGGTCTTACCACGCACGGAACAACTTCATGCCCATGCACAATTTTTT